ACAAAATTGTCAAGACTGAAGAAAACTAACTGATTAAGTTTTTCGTTGAGAAAGAAATAATCTGAAAATAACACTGTTTGTGATAGAAGATTATGTTTAGAACAAATATTCTAACTATGCGAAGAATTTATACAAAAAAAAAATTATTTTGAAAAAAAAGCATAAGTATATTCTATATTTAATATTCATTTCTCACTATAATATTATCGTTGATTTAATTCTTCGATAGCAATCTGCGTCAATATATATTTATTGTACTTATTTTTAACGTATCAGATTTTATTCTTTGTCTCCTGAACTAGTCAATAATTGTATGTTTGACAAATGTCAGAGAGCCTCGATTTTAATTATGTATAAATTTCAAATCATAACTTATTTTGATATGACGAATTATTCTGGTTTAGAAAAATAAAGTTCTCTTGGTAGAAGATTAATTACGATATGACTTTATTAATTATGTTTAAGGAAAATAATTTATGTAATAAGAAAAGGTTTTTAGGTATGAATGGCGGATCGATATCATAATGTATTGCTCATATATATTACGATTTTCTGATAATATTTATCCAGAAGTAATATTGCTTGAGAATGATTCAATATGAAAATACATACTTTACAGTTCTTCTATTCTCTATTAGCTTCATATAAGTACAAAAAATGAACTCAATCATCGATTTATACTTGAAGATCTTTTCTCATTCTATTAAAAAATATTTATATAAATATTCTAAAATAAAATTGAATTATGGTCGCTATTCACGATTACCTTAAATTATTCATTTGATTTAGTTATTTTATTTGTTTCTATTCATTTTTGTTATCTGAGGGAAAAACGTTTCTTAATATAATAGTTATGTACTTGTTTCTTTTCTTTCAGTTCTATCGTATGTTTGTACTCAATGATTTCTTAACTTCATTATATTCTTTATCAATAAATGCGATGTAGATTATTTCAATTTTTAGACAGAAAATAAACAATTAGGAAAATAAATCGAGGAACTATATGACAACAATCTTTCTCCTCCTCTCCGTATTATACATACATTCTATATATTATAATAAATTAGAAAATAAATTCAATCAAATTTATTCAACAGTTTTCAAGATTTCCAAGTTACTACAAAATTCTTTGATCTTCTTTGAGAATGTTTTTGGCAATAAATTTTGTAGAATTATTCGATTTCATCTTGTGTTTGTTTTCGTTTGCAAGTTTTGTATTGTTTTTTGAATGGAAATTGAGTTTAGTCAATATGTTGTTAATATGTCACTATTAGCACCCCAACTGATTTTTCGGTAATAAATAACTACTCAAACTGATTTGTACCAAAATCAATAATTTTTTTTAAGCATAATATGATTATGCTAATTTTTCATTTGTGTGTGAAAAAACACGAATAAAGGTTAATATTTGAGCAAAGAATAATAAAATCTACAGAATTCTATATGATTTCACAGAGTTAATATGTAAGAAATGAAGAAAATCCTGCATACGATAATTTAGAGAATTTTTGCATGCTTCTTCGAAAAGTAATTCTATTGGGCTTTTGGGTCAAGATTTCGTCCAATTTGACTGACTCGAGAGAGTCACATTGTTTACAGCACATTGCGTTAAGTCGAAATTATAAACCTTGGTGAAATCTATTAGATAATATGACTCTTCTATTTTAATAAACTAAGATGAAAATTTGTTTCCACTTAATGCAAATTTTTCATCAAGTCTTCTTTTTGTGAAAATCAATTCTTATATTAATCTATAACTAATTTTTATTAATCTGAATCTAAGTCATAGAGATGTTAATAAAATGAGGTAACTCTGTTCTGTCCTAACGTAAACCAGGATAGGATCAAAAAAATTATTTTTGCCCTACTCAGCCCTAAGGCAGAAAAACGTAGGGCAAGGTACGATGTTATACACTGCAAACTGAAAAATTAGGTTTCCGAATTTCGATTCTGAACAACGGCGTTTTATCAGTCTTTGAGAATCAAAGATCAAAAATAGACTGCCGATGTCGAGGTGTCAACTGCTGTCCAGAGTGATACATTAAATACGTCTTGATGTTGTCTTGCCAATCATTCCACTTTATCTTATTCTTATTTTTATAGTGCCCAACAATTAAAGCAATTGATATTAAAAAAACAAAGTTCAAAATGTTAGTTTTGAAAATAATAGTTCAACAAATAAATCGTATAATATGGATTTTTTTTTCTCAAAAAAGGGCTGTCAAATTCTATATAAGAATGCTAATGAGAAATCCTATTTAGTTAGTTTAATTTTTTTTTTGTAAGGCTAAAAGTGAAGCACTTTGTCATGGTGAAATGTCTCATTCTTCTGATAAAATTAAAAATGAAAATAACATTAAATAATATAGCCTTCGTCTTATTTTAAACTGACTTTTTGATCGACAAAGTCAAGGCGGACGAAGTGAAAATGTGTTTGGAACGGGCGAACGCGTGCAAACAATTGGAAAGAATTTGGAAAAAGCCATGAACTCGTTCCGAATAACTAGCTCGACAGAACATATTCGTCTGCTGACATACAACACGTTCATGGCTTTTTTCCAAACTTTCTTCCAGTGTTCGCACGCCTTCGCCTCGACCTAAGGATATTATGGTTTTCTTAGCAAAAAAAGATTGAAATAAACTAATATAAAAGCCATGAATATTCATGACAAAATATGATTTAGCATTATGTTGTTTCAACTGCAAAAACTCTTAGGAGAAAAGATCGGATCGTATGACTAATATAATTCGAATCAATTTTGTGGTATACAAAATCTCAAACTCCAAAGAAGTTACACATAACTGATATTTTTTTTATTTTAAGTTAATAGATCCAGTAAACCATTGTGTATAATAGAGGTACAGTGAGGCTGAAAATATTGGGGGAGCGACGATTTTGTTGAAAATTGCTGAAAACTTTTTCGTAAATTATCGAGCAAAGAAAAACAAAGCTTTCAAGTATTGGAATTTAGCCGCTCGGCCGTTCGGCTCGCGACAAGCCTGGTGTATATTCTTGATTAATAAAATTCTTTATTGGAAACGAATTGCTTGAAACAATTCTTATGATATCAAGAAAAAAATTTAAAACTATAACTTGCCATGTGTTCAAAAGTTTTCTAAACAACAAATAAAATTTGTATCAATATCGTGCTTTCTTTCATAAACATATACGGTTAATTCAATATTATTTGGTAATCGATGCATTAGAGAATCATGAAAATGAAATAAACTACACGAATTAAATCATATTCTATTATACTGTGCATACTTTTAAATATCATTCAATAAAAAAGATGCGAAATTTTTTTTAACTTACTGTCATTGAGCGCCCTCTTTTCCCTTATTCTCCAAGAAAAAGGATGAAGCAACTTGATGCAATGGCTATTTTATATATCTACGTGGAAATGTATGTAGATAATCTCAATTCTGTCTATATATATTGCGTCCGAAAAGTACGTTCTGAAAAGGTTTTTCGTATATCGTTACTATTTTATTTAACTTTATCAACAAATCTCTTTTAAATTATAGGTGATCATACCAAGTTTTTGCTCATGCGATCGAACTACCATACTACCATCGAAATACAAAAATTTAGCATTATTTGTATTGTCAGAACAACATGAGGCAAGATTATGTCTTTAATAGTACTTGTTTAGTTTAATCACGGTGCATATACAGTATGTCTGAAAAGTTTTTTCGTGTATCGTTATCATCTCATTTAACTTTATCAAAGAATTCCTTAAAAATTATAGGCGAGTATACTAAGGTTTTATTTCTCCGAACAAATTTCCATACTACACTGCAAAACTATCATCTTCGATCAAAAAATACAAAAATTTAGCTTTCTTTATAAGATGTGAGTAATTCAAAAATTAACTAAATTTTGTTTTCTTTGATATTTTCATATGGTTGGATAGAGCCCGTCAAGTTCTACAAGAAGATGTGAATTGAACAATTTTTAAACTGTTTCTTTGGGGAAAAATTCACACAACTCTACTAAATGAATTTTTAATATACAGATCATTTCATTTATTTTGAAAAGATTCTTCTTTTTTGATAACTCATATAGATTGGCTAGTTCTTACATCAATTTATTCTTCTAAAACTAATCATGTTACGATGATATTTATATTTTCGATAGATGAATGCCTTTAGTAAAAATATCTTTTGACGAAGAATTATTCATATTCTGTGATCCAACAAACATTATCGAAGATCAATTTAAATGTATCACAAAAGTACGATCAGCCGATTGCTAATAGACACTAAAATAAAATGTGTCGCACTTAGAATGTACAGTATATGAATTTGTCATGTTCTATCTGCTGATTATTCATTCACCGTCTTATTTTACTCATACAGTTTCAGAGAAACAATTCGACTAAACATACGAAACTTATACATTTTCGTATTCATTTTTTTCCTAAATTATTTATTAGTCAAAAACATGCCAATTTCGTGTGATGACTGAGAGAGGACTACCCTGACACGGTCTGATGGATATTGGACTATCTCGGAGTTTAACAGATATCAAGATCTAATCGATTTGAATTTTCAGATTATAAATAGTTGAATGTGAAAACTGAAAAAATGTCCTAATTTGCTTTTACAGAAAACATATGAAAAATGCGCTACATAAGAGGTTCGAACCTCGCCCTCCTATATTGTGTCGCAAAATATGAAATACACGACAGATTTTATTTTAATATGTGTCCATCATCTGAATGAAATTCTGTAGAGAAACATTATTTAATTTCAGATTGATTTCAATGTTTACTTGAATATACATGCATAGAAAGGGATTTCTATCACGTCTCGGATTAAATAACAAAGCAATCGATTTTTTGCAAGCAACTGATGAAGAAGTCAACTATTTACAACGATTGCGTATACTTCAGTCCAAGCAACGAGATTCTCAATCTATAGAACAGAATTATCAAGTTCCGACAATGATTATTAATGATTTTCTCTACCACGGTGCTATCGAACACGTACAAAACATGAAATTACTCGAAGAGTTGGGTATTCAACACATCATCAATGTATCTCATATTCGATTAGACAAAGATATTGTTGATAAATATAATGTTCTTTGGATTAATCTAAAAGATAATTTCCGAGAAAATATTCAACAACATTTCGATCGAACCAATGAATTCTTACAGACATGTAAAAATAAGAACGAGAAAGTTCTCATTCATTGTCAGAGTGGTATTTCACGTTCGACTTCAGTTATACTTGCATATCTATTAAGGTAAAATTATTCATCTTATCTTCCAACGTTAATTTTCAGCGTCATATTTCAGATATCATCATGATACACTTCACAATGCCTATGGTTATTTACTCGAACGACGTTGTATGGCTAGACCGAATGATGGTTTTCTCTTACAACTCATTCGTTATGAGAAGGAACTACAAATAAGGAAAACTGTTGATGTAGAGCAAAGTTTGAACAAATCAGTCGACACTGATCTCATTTCTTCAATCGTGGACGAGAATGAAAACGGTACCCGTGAATTAGTTATCCCTTCGGTTTGACAAATACAGTTTATTATTTTTTTATATGCAGAAAGAAAGAAAATGGAAACTATTTTCAGGATGAAAACTGGAATCGAATGTGATGAATGATCAATTCGATCGATATCCTATTTGAAACTCTTTTGTTTTTGTTCAAGACAATGCACGAAATTATCGGAATAGCTGGCGATATTGAACAACTAGAAGATCATTGTCTACTGTACAGACGTAAAAACATTTGAGATAAATATAATATCCACATTCATCTACCAAGAACCTATCTCCTGATATGTGACTTCTAAATGCGATCGAAAAATTGAGATATGTTGTAAATTTAAGTATTCATCAAAGTCAACAAGAATTAAAATTTTCTTCGTAGTTCGACGAGTGTTTCTCGATATACTTGAAAAAATAAGTATTTTCCGATTTTAATAGCTCGTTTGCAAAATGAGAATATGCTTTCAAGTAATCTTGCATGTTGTTATGGATCGTACTAATAGAATAGTAAGTGATAGCCAAATGTGGATGATTTCGAGCGAAAGATTTTTCTTCAATTTCATGTGTCTTATGTTGAAGTACATGTAGTGAATTATTACAATTCTATGCTATTGGATGTGGATATCCTATCCGACAGGTAGGATCAAGTAGGATTTCAAGGTTCTAAAGATGAAAGCAATTATCGAGTGTGTATTAACGATTGGAAATTCGACAGGAGTCAAATATTGGAATAGATGTTTCAACTTCTGGGGAATTGCAGTTTGACAGGCATGAAATTTTGAACAAGAATGATTCTCGAAATGCGCGATGACGTTCATCATTAGCAGTTGATGTAAGTAACTGTCATCGTCAAATAAATTAAAATATTTACAAACAAAAGCCATAAGTGCAACCTATGTAGAGTTTTAAAATAGCGATACGATGAAGCATGTTTTTCGGTATCATGTATGTCACCGTCTGTAGAGATGGAGAAGGAAGAATCCAAATTCACACTTCTATACATTTCAATATTACTTTCAAATTGTGTTTCATAAAACAAAACATTGCCTGAAAGAAATGTAACTGCATTATTTAGAACAGATACACAACACAAAAATAATAATCAAACAGTGTTCAAAAAAAAATAGAAAATCGTATGCGATGATGTATCAGTCAAGAGACGTCACTATAGTTCAAATTGGAAAACATAACAACACTAGCAAATCTTGGAGATAATATCAACACTACCATATCAACTTGTTAGTGATGAGAATATCTGATACATTATCGTGATTCATGTCACCAACCACAAGTACAAATGGATGAGAGCCAAAACCAAATTGAAAAACTATTTGACTGGTAAAATGTCCATGGCTATCACCATAAAAAACATCAGCATTATTAGCACCAACATTCGCCACGGCAATATCTGAGAAAGTATCACTGTTAAGATCCAAAATAGCAACGGAGTGTAGACGAGAAGCAAGGGCAGTACAATAGGTTATTTGATTGAAGAAAGTGCCGTTTCTATTTGCAAGAAAAATACCAATGCTGTCAGGGTGGGTGTGGGTGTAGGTGTGGGTGTGGGTGTGGGTGTGAATGTTGGTTGCCTGTTCATCGCACACCCACCCACACAAACACTCCGATACTCTCTGTGTTCATGTCTCTTATGTTCTATTTAGAAAATCCTCCACAGGTCCTGCCAAGAAATTTGATAACATCTTCGAAGAAACCTAGTCAAGTCCTGAAAGATGTGATCAGAAATGTTTTTTTTGCAATTAGGAACTATTGAAATCCTGACAACATCCTACAATTCCGAGACTACATATTTTTTTCAGGAATTATTGATTTCCTGACTTAATCTTGGTTTAAAATAGTGATAAGCTTATCAGAATCCTCGATAGTCTTGTTTTGAATCCTGTGAGGAGCCCCAAATTCCACAGATACATATTTATTTCAGGATGTAGTTGTTTTTTCAGGAAAAACAGCGAATTCTTGCAGGATCCTGTTCATATCTATCAAGGATCTGGCACTGAAATATCAAAGATTTTCCCTAGGGTTAGTTCTCGCTTTCCACATCTTCCAGAAAATTCAACCGCTTCTTCTACAGTACGAGACATAGAAAAGAAAGTGAAAAGGTCACCCCTAACCTTTTGTTTTCAAAATTGACAAAATTCTGCGCGACTGATTTTCGACACAACGAACACGATCACTTTTTTTTGTCCACTATGAATTCCTTTCCTTGTCTGTTCGGGTAATGAGTCATACCTATAGCCAATTTTACACAGATCGAGATATGTTCCTCAATGCTCTACTGTACTCTCTTATAAAAAAAGAGTTTTGCAGAACCTTTTTGTGGGTTCTGCCATCGAGTACAAGACAGAACTCTTGAAAATGGTTCTGTGAAAACTTCAAAAAAACCATTTTTAATTTGTATCAAGAATGGTTCTGTCGCATCAGTAATGTATGACATTTGGCTGGTTTATTATAAAAACCATCCTATTTCTTACTAATGGATTGTATAGCTCAAAAACAAATCCATGCACTCTAAAAACATTGTATTGAAACAGCTCTTACCTTGCTGTTTCCATTTCAAATGAATCTAAAATAGAATAAGACAATGATTAAATTTAGTATATCACGAGTCCTTAACTTGACATTCCGATTTTTAGTGACTTTAAAACATAACAGATGAATGATTAATTTAGTATTCTAAGAGTTCTTACCCTTGTATACTGATTTCCAATAGGCCTAAACATACTAAAAGAATGATTATCCCAGTGTTTTAAAATTTCTTATCTTGGTATTTCGATTTTCAACTAAGGGTGTCATTTTTCTTTAAAAGTTAAACAAATATAAATTACTAGTAACTAAAATTTAAACCAAGCTTAACTTATTTGCTTTTTGTAATTCATTACATTCAAAATTAAACTAAACTGTTCCATTTGTTCATGAATTTCATATCTCTTCAAAAGATATCAAATGATGACCTGTATAAATTTCTAAAGACTAATCAGGGATGATCCCTATAACTTTTAGAGGGCAGTCTAGAAGCAGTCCTTATAACTTCTCAAGGGCTCTCTATGGATAGCCGTTGAAGGGTTATAAAGAATCCCGTAGATTACCATGTGAGAGTTATAAGAAGTGCCTCTAGATAGCCTTTAAAATGTTATAAGGATAATCCTGACGCAACAATTCACAAGTTATAAAGACCTCTTATATAGTCTTTGGGAGATTGTAGAGATTATTCTTAAATAGCCCTTGGAAAGTAAAAAGAACTTCTCCTAGATAGCCTTTAAAAGGTTATAGGAATTGCCCTTGAGAGTCATTGGAAAGTTATCAGTGTTACTTCTAGATAGGTCTTGGAAAGTTACAGGACTCATCCTCGAATACCGCTTGGAAAATCATAAGAACCTCATTATATGGTCTTTGGAAAGTTATGAAGACTTATAAAGAAATTGAATAATTTAAATTAAATTTTCCATTTAATAGATTCCAAAAAGCAAATAAATTCCATTTAAAATGAATTAAATTTGTTAGAATTTGGATTTATTTTTAAATTTAAATTACTGGTAATTTAATCTATGCATAAGTTAAATTCGATCGTCAAGAAAAACGGTCAGCTGTATTATAATAAAGTATCTCAAAGTTGAAGTACGGCTAAAACATATGATGAAACGCTTCTGTAGAATGTGCTGCAGTTGGTATTTAAAAAAGAGATTTTGCACTGAGCCTTTGCCAAAAAGACTTTGTAATAAGTACTTCTTGAGCCATTTTTGTTTCTTTGCCGAATCCTTTTATAGTCTCTTATTTTGACTGACAAAACTTGAAGAGTTCTAGAGAACTGGGAGAACCTCTCGGGTTCAGCATTATTGGACAGAAGCTTTTGTGTTCAGCATTTCTAGCCATAGAGCTTTTTACAGTTCTGGATTATCATGCACAACTTTTAAGGGTTTTTCACTATGATACAGAACTATAAATGGGTTCTGCAAAACTTCTTTTTTTTAAGAGATTGCTGAAGGATTCTTATTCACGATAGCACTGTCACCGTTGTATGTGACATTTTCATCTCAAAGAAGCTGTTTTAAGCCAGCGACAAAATAATTCAACGTAAAATAAAGAATGAGGACATGAACATGATTAATAATGTTATTGTTTTTATTCAATTTTCTCCCCACAGTTTACATAAAGACAATGATCATTTATTTTCGACCTGGAACTATGTGTCCCCATATAGAACCGCCGTTATTTTTCATACAAACAGGAGCCATTGGACATGGTGGACGTCCAGGAAAATAAGCACATGGAGGTGGAACAAGTCGACAAGTTTCATCTGCAGCACATGGCATCGCATCGCAGGGATTAGGAGCGCAGCGACAAACTCGACATCCTCCATCGATAGCCAATCCAAGTGGACAGCTGAGAGTACAGTTTGATACATCTTCACATGGCTGAACACAATAGCTTGTAGCTGTACCTAATGGGCCGAAATTGTGCATTGGCGCTTGACAGCATTTTTCTTCACCAGAACACAAGGCATCCGGACCTTGACATGCACGCAGACCAGCACCCATTGATGGCCAGTAATCCGGACAATTTTTTGGTTTCGGAGTTGGATCTACATGAATCGACGGATCATCGACACATTTAGTGGCGAAACCACAGCGTCCCTTAATAGCACATGGTTGATACTCTTCTGAAATACATTTCGTTCCCAATGGACATGTTGTCGAGAGACATGGATCTTCGGCACATTCGCAAGTCGTACATGGCGAAGGATCGACTTTCAGACCAAACGGGCATTGAATATTACATGGGTGCGTGAATTCTGGACATGGAGCAAAACAATTCATACCGTTTGTTAATGCACAGCATTTATAATTCCATGGACACACCTCATCCTCGCCTTCGTTTGAGCACGTCAGAGCACTGGAAACATACTGTGGGTAAGGACATCGACCGTCTCGTGTAGTCGCTGTGATTGGTTTTAAGTATAGAAGAAAAAGAAATATTAGGACGAACATGACTGTATGCTTTCTCTTAGCGACAAAAATAACGAAAAATTATTTTTTTTAAAGAGGCGATGCCTAAATATTACAAGCGAAAAAAGAACAGGTGTTTATTATCAACTTGTATCAAGAGAGACAGGAATATTTATTTTTTTTTAAACGTTATCGTAAGCCAATATCATATCCAGTTTGATTAGTAGATTGAAATTGAATAGAAGAAAAAGAATCCGACTAATTCGATATTTGCAGAGCACTTGAAAAGTGTTCGTTGTGTCGCTTTCTTCATAAGATGTCGTTGGAAAAAAATTACCCAATATATCTCTTCTGATAGAGAGTGAAAGAACGCAAGCATATACACTTGTTTAAAGGAGAAAAAATGATCATATCTAATGAAAATAATAATGATCAAGTCAGAGATTCTGATCAACAATCACAGAGCTTCGTCTATGAAGTCCAATAAATTTTCGCTACAGTAACTAGAGATGTAAGGGTGTGGATATGGGGTGTAGGTTTTAGATACAAGTACATCCACACCCCAAAATGATGATAGCTTATGATAATTAAAGTTGAAATAATCGAACAATTCTTGATTATTCTACTGATCTTTTTTTTATATATGAATTACTAGAGTTAATTTGTTTGCAATGATAAATATAGTTCTGCACCTTTCAATGACGTGCCGCCAGGAGATCCACCAGTAACTAGCATTTTTCCATTGGCTAGTACGGATGTTGTGTGCTCACCTCGTGCAACATTCATATCATCAATAATTGTCCATGTTTCTGTTAATGGATCATACAGTTCGGCACTAGTTAGAGCATTATGTTCAAATCCACCTATAACTAACACTTTTCCATTTGCTAATACGGTTGCTGTGTGTTTCCATCGTTTATGATTCATGCTACCAGTGATTGTCCACAATCCTGTTAATGGATTATATAACTCAGCACTACCTCGGGCATTATTATCAAATCCACCAGTAACTAACACATTTCCATTCATTAATACGGATGCTGTGTGTTCACTTCGTGTACCATTCATACTATCAATAGTTGTCCAAGTCTCGGTTGATGGATCATATAACTCGGCACTATTTAGAGCATCACGACTTATGTGTCCACCGGTGACTAACACTCTTCCATTTGGTAATACAGATGATGTATGTTGGCTTCGTGCACTATTCATGCTACCAGTAGTTGTCCAAATCTCTGTTGATGGATCATATAGCTCGGCACTATTAAGCCAATGACCATTACCATATCCACCGCTCACTAAAACTTTTCCATTTGTTAATACAGATGCCATATGTTCACCTCGGGGATCATTCATGCTACCAGTAATTGTCCAAGTCTCGTTTGATGGATCATATAACTCAGTACTATTCAGAAAATCTCGATTACTAAGTCCACCAGTAATTAATAATTTGCCATTGTTTAGTAAGGATACTGTGTGTTCACCTCGAGCATGATTCATACTGTCAATAGTTGTCCAATTTTCTGTTGATGGATCATACAATTCAGCACTAGCCATTGCACCATTATCAAATCCACCACAAACTAATACTTTTCCATTTTTTAATGTGAATGCTGCATGATCCCGTCGTGCATGATTCATACTACCAGTTTTAGACCATGCTAGATGAAGATATTTCAATGTTTTCATTCTGAAAGAATTTTGATTATGGAACTCTAGATATGGCCTAATCATGGGCAGATTTGTTTAGATAATGTAAAATAAAAATTGTTTAGTCCTTTTAAGACAAAACTTTCCGAATTTCTGGGAACGTAAAAAAGTCTTCAACTTATCGAATAAAAAATTGTTCGTGAAATAGTACAACAATAGACTTCATAGTTTTGATAAATGATTAGAATTAAAACAAATTTAGCCTCAACTTCATAAGTCATGAAATTTATTGAAAGCCAACTAGAATTCTCCGAGATCTTTGAGAAATCTAGTATGACCTTCTTATATTTAGTCACTTTGGAACGATCTTGAAAGAGTTTTGCTCATTTTGAGTTGAGTTAGATAATCTTTTTCGTCTTTTATATCTCTTAAAATCGTAGAGATCACTTCAAATTAGACAAAAATGCCTCAAATCACAAATCGGAAATAGATTTTCGGTCATGATTATAACAACCGAGAAAACAGCTTAAGAAAGTTTATGTTTATAGATGAATGAATATATTCCATCAGAATCAATCAGAAATGAATAACTAAGCTCGATTATTATTGTTTTTGATTATAATCGATGAAAATCTATAATTATTTAATTGAGTTCTAATCAAACTACTCTTGGCAACTACAATAATTTTAGAGCTTGTGCTTTCAATCAATTCTTTGTTTAAACAATCATCTAACTACCTACTTTCTAATGGTTCATTATTTGACAACAAAGAGATTCACCTTTTGATAAGTCACCATTCTTTACCCTTGCATTGATTGTTTTTATAAAGATATTACTATGAGAACTGTTCAATCATGTCTTAACAAAATTGTCATACTTGGGAATAGATGACATATATTAAAAATGTCTTTTATTCACTGAATATTAGTTTTAAGTTCAGGGAATATGACATAACATGCCAGCCGACTCTAACAAGTTTTAATATTGGACGTTGCTTTTAAACAAAAGGATAAAATCTGAAGCGATACATCTTTACGAGTTCCGTTGGTACAAATTTAGAAAATCTGATATGATTGCGTTTTCTATTTCTAATTCAATTCGCTTCAATCCTTTTTTTATCTCTATCACCCGCATTCATAAAATCAGAACGTTTTTATGCATTTTGAATTGGAAGCATAAATATGTCGACGATTAACTGCGTCCGATATATATATACAACTCTCAACTATTAATGATATTGAATTTATATAATTCTCTTAATTATCTCCTCTATTCTTTTAATGAGGATCATCTGTCGTTCTTGTGCCGAGTAAAACATCCATCAAAACGAAACAGATTGTGAAATTACGTCATGCATTCTAAGTATTTTATTTGTTATCGAGAAAAGCAACACTTCTCTCGATTTGTATGATTTCAGAGGCTAGTCAGATATATACGTAGAAGCCGTAGTCAAACCTTATCTGATGCACTTTATTCAAGGATTAGGGGTTGTTTTTTTACCTCGCCACGCTCAAAGTGGCATTTTAGGTGGTTAAGAAGCGTTACAATAAATCTCACCTGACCGTTGAGTAGTAATTGCAGTTAATGTTGACATTGATGTTAATATTGTTGTTGTTTGTGATGCTGTTATTGTTGACTGTCTTGATGTTGTCATTAGTGTTGTGGTTATTGATAGTGTTGGTGCGATGGTAGCGATAGTAGTTTCTGGCTTTCTCGGTGCAAGAATCACGAATTTTAGTACCAAAGAGAGAGTAATTGCAAATATTGTTAGAGCGATAAAAGATATGAAGATGATCTTAACCCAAAGGTGATGCCACCATTTGCGTAGTTCAAATTTTTCAGTGATATTCCCGTTGTACGACTTATTGTAATGCATACTATGTGCTTCAAAAAACTTCGATAGTATTTTATATTTGTCTATCACTCTCACAGTAGTAACGAAACATAAGTTATATTATCTTCAGTGTATAAAGTATTGCTATACTGATATCTTGAC